TTAACTGTATGTATAGAGAAAAAAACACACACATACACATATGACAAGTAGAAGAAAGGAGGAAAAAAGTGTTAATTACATACACACTTGTGTTTACGAAAGTATGAGTGTGTTAGACTGGCTTAAGAGCCGAGAGAGAGAGTGAGAGAAAGAGAAAAATTTCATAATGTTTGTTACTAAATAACAAGAAAACCCCAGTCATTAAAATTACAACAACAACAAACACAAAAGCTAAAACAAAAATTTCTGTTGCCATAAACATCCTTTAAGGCTGTTATGTATTTATAAGGGAGTATATGTATGTGTGTATAGCATATGTATGTATATTCTCTGGGTGTGTTTTTTATTAGAATTTTTTCTTTTCTTTTCACATCCTTTGCGATGTATGTATGGATGTCCTTATAAGATTATTTGTTTTTTTTTAGGCTGGTTTTCTAGTCAAAAAAGAAAATGTGTTTTTCTTTTCATAAATATGTTTTTATGCGCCCAACCGGCATTTTGTTCATGTTCATTGAACTCGTATGTTTTTTAAACACTCAGTTTGAACTTTGACAATAAGTGAGACACATTTTCTATGTATGTATATAAATATATGAGCTTTTAAGTGTTTGTAACTGTTTTTAAAAGTGTGTCTTTGTTAAGTGTCACTTCAGAGATGGATATTAAGATATTTTTTTCATAAATTGTTAACAAAACGAGCAAAAGAAAACCAAAAAATAACGAAAAAGGTTTCAAAAGTCTCTTATTTAAACATTTCTTTAGTAAATGTTCTTTATTTTACAAATTTTAAAAATTTTTCAAAAAAGGATATATGGCCAACTTGCATAAATATCAAGTTAGAGAAATAAAATTAACTACATCAATAAAGCTCAACAAAACTACAAATTGTTACAAAAAAATATTTTCAAATTTCCAAAAATTTAAACCGATTTTTTAATAAAAACTGAAATAAAAAAAAATGTTTATGAAAAATTCTTTTAAAATCCAGAAAACCATAATTTATCTAATAAAATTAAGTAATTTTTAACAATTTTAAAAAAATTACAAATAAAGGATATATGGCTAGCTGCTTTATACTTGTAGTGAGGAAGTTGATACTTAATAATTACATAAAGGACTTAAAAACCTAAGTTGTGCCATAAGAAAATTTACAAAATTTTCGAAAAATATGAAAAATTTAGATGAAAATTAAAGGAAAAATTACAGATTTTCAGAAAAAATAAGTTTAAATAATAGTTAAAATGAAAAAAATATAAAATTTTTACAATAATTAAAAATTTTAAAAATTTCTTACAAAAAAGGATATAAGAAAAACTTCTAAACTAAAGCAGCTATTAAAATAAAATTTGGTGGCCGTATAAAGGGTTCCTAAGCACAACTTGTGCTGTAATTAAATTTTAAAATTATAAATTTTTACTAAACATTTTATAAAATTTCTTAATAAAATTATAAAAAAAAAAACTCCATAAATATATGAATCGTAGTTATGGAACTAAAAATACAACAAAATCCTACTTAAAAAACAAATTTTTGCAGAATTTTTGTAAAATATAAAAAAAGGATATATGGCTAACTTCCAAATTAAAGCAGCTATCTCGATCAAATTTACTATATGTATAAAGAATGCATAAACACAACTTGTGCTGTAATTGATTTTGAAAAATTCAAAATTTTTCAAAACAATTTTATAAAATTTCTTAATTAAACTATAACAAAAACACTAGAAATATATAAATAGGAGTTATGGAACTAAATATACAATGAAATCCTATTTAAAAAACTAATTTTTGCATAATTTTTGTAAAATTTAAATAAAGGATATATGGCTAACTTCCAAATTAAAGCAGCTATCTCGATCAAATTAACTATATGTATAAAGAATGCTTAAACACAACTTGTGCTGTAATTGATTTTAAAAAATACAAAATGTTTTCAAAACAATTTTATAAAATTTCTTAATTAAACTATAACAAAAACACTAAAAATTTATGAATAGGAGTTATGGAACTAATAATGCTATAAAATCCTATTTAAAAAACAAATTTTTGCAGAATTTTTGTAAAATTTAAAAAAAGGATATATGGCTAACTTCCAAATTAAAGCTGATATCTCGATAAAATTTGGTGTACTTATAAAGGATGCATAAACACGACTTGTGCTATAATTAGTTTTAACTAATTCCAGATTTGTTTGAATAAAATGAAGGTTTTTTTATAAAACAAAATTAAAAAAAAAATTTAAAATTTTGCTTTATTAAGTTATTTAACTAATTTTAATTTAAATTTTATAAAATTCCAAAAAAAAGGATATAAGGCCAACTTCCGCATTTATTAAGTTATTTCAACAAAATTTGTTGAGCATATAGAGAACCGTAAAGCGCGACTTGTGCTGTTATAATATGTTAATATTCATGGCATGGAAGGGAGAAAATTGTTGTTCATTTTGTTTAAACACACTTTTTTCTAATCTCCTTTTGTTCAACCTACTGAAAATCCTATAAGTCTTATAAAACATTAAACATTTTTCTATTACACATGCTAACTGTTAGAAAAATTCTCGATTTAATTAACCCCCTTATATGAATTCCCAAAAAAAAAACAACAAGGAAATAAAGTTCAATGACCCGTTTTTATGTTGTGTTTTTCTAAAAAGCCTAGACATAGACTAGAGTCTAGCATTAAAGCAAAAACTTCCCCCTTGTTTTTATAGCTCTCTGCTGGCAGTCAGGCTGGCAAGATAATGGCTGTATTTGACAGGACCTTAATAAAATTATACACTTTTGTTTGTGTGTGTATGTGTACTTATTTATTTATTATACCAACTGGACTTTTCTATTGTATGTATGTGTTAGTTTTTTTTGGAGATAGACATCTTTCGACTGCCACCCTTATAAAGTTAGAGTTTGTTTTTGATAATTCCAATTGGAGTTTTTTTCTTCTTTTTCTCTTGGTGGTTATTTACAGGATAATGTGTACTTATTTGTTATTAAAGGAAGTGCTAAACAGGCCTTTGTTAATGTTAAATAGAGATTTTTAAATAAGATTAATATGGCATGAGTTTATCAAAGTTGTAATTAAAGGCTTTTTTGTAAATTAAAGGAAAGTTTTGTTATACTGTGTAATTAATTAAAAAAAAGTTTTTACAGCTTAGTTTATTGTTAAATATAAAGTAAATTAACTTAATGAAAAGAAAAAAATAATTTTTATGAAAAGTTCAAAAAAAGGATATATGACAAACTTTTAAACTACAGCAGCTACTGCAACAACATTTGCTGTGTCTATAGAGGATAGCAAGATACGACTTGTGCTGTTATTAGTTTTTTAAATTTACTAAAATTTTTATTAAAAAATGAAGATTTTTCTTAAAAAATTAAATTTTTCTTAAAAAAATATTCATGATTAAACAAAAATGAATATAATATTGTTAAATATCTATTCCTAGAACAAAAATCCCTATTAAAAACCTAATTTTTGCGAGATTTTTATAAATTCTCTAAAAAGGATATTTGAAGAACTTCCAAAGGAATGAAGATATTTTAAAGAAATTTGCTGGAAGTTAAGAGGACACTAAGGCGCGAGTTGTATGATATTCAGTTTAAAAAATTTCGAAATTTTTATGAAAAAATTCAAAATTTTTTTATAGAAAAATTTAAAAAATTAAAAAAAATGTATTAATTGATTTGTTCTTGCAGTTTCAAACCAATATGTTCACTAAAAACACAATTTTTAATCAATTTTTTTAAATTTCATAAAAAGGATATATGAACAACTTCTGCAGGAATAAAAATATTTTAACAAAATTTGGTGGCAGTAAAGAGGACACTAAAGCAAAAATTGTTGTAAACAAAATTTTTAAATGTTTTCTTTTTTTATGAAAAAAATTTCAAATTTTCTAAATAAAGAATTTAAGAAAATTCTGAAATTTATGCAACTAAGCTGTTCCTGCAGTTTTACGGCATAATCTTTCTTAAAATGCATTTTTTTTATTAATTTTTTTTATATTACATAAAAAGGATATATGAAGAACTTCTAAAGGAATAACGATATTTAAATGAAATTTGGTGGGTGTAAAAAGTACATCAAGGCGCTAATAGTCTTATAATTAGTTTTCAAAATTTCATCATTTTTATTAAAAAAATCAAAAATTTCTTAAAAAGAAAAATTTTTTAAATTTTTAAAATTATAAAATCTATTAAATTATACTGTTTTGGAATGTTTTCAACAAAATCTGTTCGAAAAATAAAATTTTTATTAATTTTTTTTGTATTACATAAAAAGGATATGTAAACAACTTCTACAAGAATAAAGATGTTTAAATGAAATTTGGTGGGTGTAAAGAGGACATTAAGGCGCAAATTGTCTTATAATTAGTTTTCAAAATTTATACATTTTTATGAAAAAATTAAAAATTAAAAAAAAAAAATATAAAAATTTTTTAAATTATAAAATCTATGAATGTATGCTGTTTTTGAATGTTAAAAAAGAATCTTTTTGAAAAATTTAATTTTTATTAAATATTTTGTATATTACATAAAAAGGATATATGAACAACTTCTACAGGAATGAAGATATTTCAATGAAATTTGGTGGATGCAAAGAGGACACTAAGGCACAAATTGTAGTGTACAACGATTTTAAAAATTGGACTTTTTATTTAAGAAATTAAACAGTTTTTTAGTAAGAAAATTTGAAAAAAAAAATCTAAAATTTATTGAACGGCATAGTTAGGGTAGTATTAGAGCAAAATATTTAATATTTTTTAGGATTATAGCTATTATAAAGCAGTTAAGGGTTAAAAAAAGGCAATATAAGGCTTTTTTGAAGCAGCAATAATCTATCTGCAATCATTAATCTTCTGTAATAGACATTTATAAGAGAGAGGAAAAACGATTTCATTGCAGTTCTCTATAAAAGACAAACATTATTAAAATTTTATGCTGATAACACATTTCGTAACGTTTTTATTAAAACATTTTTTCTTTCTTTTCTTTCTCTTTGCAGATTTGATAAAATCTAAGATTAAAACAAAAAATTATATATATATTGAGTAAGCAATCGAGCAGCTATTATTGTACACCAAGTGAGAAAATATTTCGTATTTAAATTTAATATTAAATTAATTCCAAAATCAAGTTTATTGAAAACCAAACAAAAATTTTTCAAAAAAAAAAAGAAAATCTTGCAATTCAACACCACCAAAGAAAACCAACTATTACAGAGCTAAAGTAAAAAAAAATAACGAATTAAAAACAACAAACAACAAAATAATCATTTTTACAACAAAACCTCTTTAAAACCAAAAAAGTTCTTAAACTTTTCTAGGAGGTTAACAGCAAAAAAAAAAAAAAAGAAATAAACCAAATGTTCCATATTAAAATACAACAACAAATAAATTTATAAAATTTAATACTTAGTCAAATAATTTATGCTAAAATATTAAAAAAAAAAAAAAACTTTTTGCATTTTTGCAATTTTATATAAAAAACCAACTTAAAAAAAATACTCATTAAATCCCCAACCAAAAAAAAGAAAAAATCATTAGTAAAATTTACTCTTTTAACTTTTATTAAAACAACAAAACATAAAAAATTTAAACAATTTTAAATTATAACTTAATGATCTTAAATTCTTAAAGATCTAAAACTCCAAAAAAAAAACAAGAAAAACTCTTTAACATAATTAAAAAAAACACAAAACTACGCTTTTAAATTAAAAACAACTTAAAAAAATTTAATATAAATATTAAAGAAAAACCAACAACAACAACAAAAAAATTCTTCTTAAACTTGTGCTAAGCGCAATCAAAGCTTTTTTTAAAAAAATAAAAAAACTCAAACTAAATTAAGTCCAGGCGTTTTTCTTAGAGAACCCAAACTCGTAGTACGCTCAACTTTATTTTGTTGCTTAATCCAAGTCTGCTGTAAAAAAAAGCCTCAAAATTACACTCCAACAGCAAAGACATCAACAACAAACACCAGCCCAACAACTCAAAATGACCAATGCCATGGATATTGTTAAGAATGGCAGTGCCAATGGTTCGGTCGATGGCAACTCAGATGAGTCGCGCACCAATTTAATTGTCAACTATCTGCCGCAAACAATGACCCAGGAGGAGATGCGTTCGCTGTTCTCGAGCATTGGTGAACTGGAGAGTTGCAAGCTGGTGCGCGATAAAGTCTCAGGTAAATTGGGTAAATATGATATTTGATATAAAAATTTAGACAATGGACCAGACCATTTGGACTAGACTAGACTATTGACTAGACTATAGACTAGACTATAGACTAGACTATAGAGTAGACTATAGACTAGACTATAGACTAGACTATAGAGTAGACTATAGAGTAGACTATAGACTAGACTATAGACTAGACTATAGACTAGACTATAGACTAGACTATAGACTAGACTATAGACTAGACTATAGACTAGACTATAGACTAGACTATAGACTAGACTATAGACTAGACTATAGACTAGACTATAGACTAGACTATAGACTAGACTATAGACTAGACTATAGACTAGACTATAGACTAGACTATAGACTAGACTATAGTCTAGACTATAGACCATAGAATAGACTATCGACTAGACCATAGACTAGACTATAGACTACAATATGGACTAGACTATAGTGTTCAAAATAGATTAGACTATAGACCACTCTAAAACTATAAACTAGACTATAGACCATACTTAAGACTAGACTAAAGTCTAAACTATAGAATAGACTATACGTTTAACTGTAGAATAGACTATAGACCAGCATAAAGACAATACTATATGACTATAGACTAGACCATAGACTAAACTATATACCAGACTATAGACTAGACTTTAGACTATACTATATACTAGACTATAGACTAGACTATACTATAGACTACATTATAGACCATACTATCTATACTACAACATAGATTAGACTATAGTCCAAAATATAGAATAAGACTACAATAAAGTCAAGAATATAGACTAGACTATAATCCAGACAACAAACTAGACTATAGTCCAGACTATATACTACACAAATTACTTGATTGTATTAAAGACCATAGTCCAGACTACAAACTAGACTATAGTCCAGACTACATACTAGAATATAGTCTCGACTATATACTAGACTGTAGTCCAGAATGTGTACTAAATTATAGTCCAGACTTTATACAAGAATATAGTTCACACTATTGACAGATATAGATTAGACTATAAACTGGACTATAGTTCATAATATAGGCTATAGTCTAGTCTGTACTATACTACACTGTAGACTAAACTATAGACTAGACTAGACTAAAGACTAGACCATAGAATAGACTATAGACTAGACTTTGAACTAGAATACAGACTAGACTATAACTAGAACAAAGACTAGAACAAGACTAGATAGACTATAGACTAGACTAGAGACTAGACTATAGACTAGACTATAGACTAGACTATAGACTAGACTATAGACTAGACTTAGACTAGACTATGAGACTAGACTATAGACTAGACTATAGACTAGACTATAACTAGACTAGACTATAGACTAGACTATAGACTAGACTATAGACTAGACTATAGACTGACTATAGACTAGACTATACCCTAGACTAGAGACTAGACTATAGACTAGACTATAGACTAGACTATGACTAGACTATAGACTAGACTATAGACTAGACTATAGACTAGACTATAGACTGGACTATAGACTAGACTATAGACTAGACTATAGACTAGACTATAGACTAGACTATAGACTAGACTATAGACTAGACTATAGACTAGACTATAGACTAGACTATAGACTAGACTATAGACTAGGCTATAGACTAGACTATAGACTAGACTATAGACTAGACTATAGACTAGACTATAGACTAGACTATAGACTAGACTATAGACTAGACTATAGATTAGACTATAGACTAGACTATAGACTAGACTATAGACTAGACTATAGACTAGACTATGGACTAGACTATAGACTAGACTATAGACTAGACTATAGACTAGACTATAGACTAGACTATAGACTAGACTATAGACTAGACTATAGACTAGACTATAGACTAGACTATAGACTAGACTATAGACTAGACTATAGACTAGACTATAGACTAGGCTATAGACTAGACTATAGACTAGACTAAATACTAGACTATAGACTAGACTATAGACTAGACTATAGACTAGACTATAGACTAGACTATAGACTAGACTATAGACTAGACTATAGACTAGACTATAGACTAGACTATAGACTAGACTATAGACTAGACTATAGACTAGACTATAGACTAGACTATAGACTAGACTATAGACTAGACTATAGACTAGACTATAGACTAGACTATAGACTAGACTATAGACTAGACTATAGACTAGACTATAGACTAGACTATAGACTAGACTATAGACTAGACTATAGACTAGACTATAGACTAGACTATAGACTAGACTATAGACTAGACTATAGACTAGACTATAGACTAGACTATAGACTAGACTATAGACTAGACTATAGACTAGACTATAGATAGACTATAGACTAGACTATAGACTAGACTATAGACTAGACTATAGACTAGACTATAGACTAGACTATAGACTAGACTATAGACTAGACTATAGACTAGACTAGACTAGACTAGACTATAGACTAGACTATAGGCTAGACTATAGACTAGACTATAGACTAGACTATAGACTAGACTATAGACTAGACTATAGACTAGACTATAGACTAGACTATAGACTAGACTATAGACTAGACTATAGACTAGACTATAGACTAGACTATAGACTAGACTATAGACTAGACTATAGACTAGACTATAGACTAGACTATAGACTAGACTATAGACTAGACTATAGACTAGACTATAGACTAGACTATAGACTAGACTATAGACTAGACTATAGACTACACTATAGACTACACTACAGACTAGACTATAGATTGGACTATAGACTAGACTATAGACTATACCATATAGTAAAGAGATAGGCAGCTACAGACAGGTCTGTAAGCTAAACTATATTATGACAGACTATAAACTATAATATATGCAAGACTATAAACTAGACTATAAGCCACAATAGGCTAGACAATATTCTGACTGTAGACTAAACTATAGTCTAGACTATAATACATACTATAGACTTGACTCCATACACTTCAAACTAGACTGTTAATAGGCTATATTCCAGACTATAGACTAGATTAAAGTCTACACTATGAATCTAGACTATAGGTCAGACTGTAGTCAAGACTTTAGTCCAGACTATAGTTCAGACTATAGTCCAAACTATAGTCCAAATATAGTTCAGACAACAGTCCACTATGAATCTAGACTATAGTCCAGTCTATAGTTCAGACTATAGTCACGTCTATAGTTCAGAATATAGTCCAGACTATAGATCAGACTATAGTTCAGACTATAGTCCAGACTATAGTTTAGACTATATTCCATACTATAGTTCAGACTGTAGTCCAGACTATAGTCCAGACTATAGTTCAGACTATATTTCAGACTATAGTCCAAACTATAGTCCAAATATAGTTCAGACTACAGTCCACTATGAATCTAGACTATAGTTAAGAATATAGCCTAGACTATAGTCCAGACTATAGTTCAGACTATAGTTCAAACTATAGTCCGAATATAGTTCAGACTATAGTTCAAACTATAGTCCGAATATAGTTCAGACTACAGTCCACTATGAATCTAGACTATAGTTCAGAATATAGCCCAGACTATAGTCCAGACTATAGTTCAGACTATAGTCTATACTATAGTTCAGACTGTAGTCCAGACTATAGTCCAGACTATAGTTCAGACTATAGTCCACGCTATAGAATAACATGATATCCATGTCATTGACTAGCGTATAGTCCAGACAATAGCCTTTTGATACAATTGCCTTTATAATCCTTAATTAAAGCCTTTCCTATTCCTCTTTCCTAAATAAACAGCTGCTAACCTGTAGATATCTTCTTTTCTCCCATTAGTTTTGCCAGCCTCTTTGACAGCTTTGAATCCAGCTTTACAGCAGGGTAAGTGTGAACATTTTTGTCCTCCGAAGTTGAGTTGCAAATTTTATTTAAACATTTGTATTTAACTTTTTTAAAAGGACAAAGTTTGGGCTATGGTTTCGTTAACTATGTACGGCCCGAGGATGCGGAGAAGGCGGTAAATACCCTAAATGGTTTGCGTTTACAAAATAAAGTTATAAAAGTATCATACGCCCGTCCAAGTTCGGAATCAATTAAGGGTGCTAATTTATATGTATCGGGTCTTCCCAAAAATCTATCACAACCAGACTTGGAATCATTATTTGCACCATATGGCAAAATAATAACATCTCGTATACTCTGTGATAATATATCGGGTGAGTTTGAGTTTGGGAATTAAAAGAAATATATATATGTTTATGATTTTTTGGTATAATTTTTTGTTGTTTTTTTTCGGTTAATTTTATTATAATTTTTTTATTGTTTAATTACAGCTGCTTTACAGTTACAATTAAAGCAAGATTTGGGTAGGTTTTTTTGGTTTTAATTAAATTTATTTTGTGTTTTTGAAATCTTAATTTTTTTCTAGAAATTTGTTGAAAATATAAAAAATTTTTGTTAAATTTTATTTATAAATTTTTAAAGGTCTCTCAAAGGGTGTTGGTTTTATACGTTTTGATCAACGCAACGAAGCCGAACGTGCAATACAAGAACTGAATGGTAAAACTCCTAAAGGTTATACAGAACCTATAACTGTTAAATTTGCCAATAATCCAAGCAATAGTGCTAAAGCCCAAATCCCACCACCTTTGGCTGCTTATCTAACACCACAAGCAGCTGCTGCTACACGTCGTCTAGCTGCCGGCGCATTGCCCTCGGCTGGTCGCATTAGGTAAGTCCTTAAAATTTCCTTATTTTCTTGCTCTTAAGTATTATTATTATTATTGAATGGAAGGTGTCCTTTTTTCTGAAGGACTACTCAATATAAAACTGATACAACTGCATGCTTAAGCCAATAAAAATTCCCCTTTAAATTTTTTCTTAATTTTTCCTAAATTTCCTTTTTTTATACTTTTTTTGACAAATTTTATTTTCCACCTACAACATTTTTATAATTTCCTATTTTTATTAAAACCTATTTTTCTCTTCTTTTTACAAACCTTAAACTAATATTTAAAAATTTTAACTCTTAAAATTTTTTTTAGAAAATTCTTACAAAATTTTTTACTAATCTCCGTGAAAAAAAATTAATCAATTTTATTTATATTTTTTCTATTTTAAAATATTCTTTATTTTTGATTTTTTCTTTTTATTTATATTTTTTTCTTCATTTTATTGCCATAAAAAAATTTGTTTAGCATTGGAAAAAGCCCGATGTTAGCGATTAACAAGGGTTTACAAAGGTGAATTAATTTATTTATAATTTTATTTGTTTATCAAAAAAAAAAAAAAAAAAGAAAAAACTACAAAAAAACTGTACTATTAAGTTTAAACTAAAAGTTTTTTGGCGTAATTTTTGAAAATTGTATTATTTGTAGTGTTAACATTTAACTTTAATTAAAAAAAATTAATTGTGTTAAATTTGTGTTTTTTTGTTTCTTTTTTTCAAACTCAATGTTTTATTCCATTTAATAATAACTTTCATTATTATTAACTAATTTTTGTTTTCATTTGTTTTATTCATAATTTATTTTCCTTAAAATGTCAAAGTTTAATTGTTTTTGGTTTTTCAGTTGGCTTTTATGTTTTAATATTTAATTTTGTGTCTTTACAAGCATCTGTCACTTGAACAAAATGAACAGAAAATTTAAAGGAAAGTTTTGAAAACAAAAGGATACTTGTCAACAAATCATTCTATAGACTACACTATATACTAGACTAAATCATAGACCTTACAGAAGACCATATATTAGCTTATAGACTAGACTATAAAAGACAACATATACAAAACTAGACTAGACTGTAAACTACACTATACACAAGACTTAAGACTAGATTTTAGACTAGAACTTAAACTAGACAACAGATTAGACCTTAAACTAGACTATAGACTAGACTAGAATATAGACTAGACTATTGACTAGAATATAGACTAGACCATAGACTAGACTATAGACTAGACTATAGACTAGACAATAGACTAGACTATAGACTAGACTATAGACTAGACTATAGACTAGACTATACTATAGACTAGACAATAGGCTAGACTATAGACTAGACTATAGACTAGACTATAGACTAGACTATAGACTAGACTATAGACTAGACTATAGACTAGACTATAGACTAGACTATAGACTAGACTATAGACTAGACTATAGACTAGACTATAGACTAGACTATAGACTAGACTATAGACTAGACTATAGACTAGACTATGGACTGGACTATATACTAGATTATAGACTAGACTATAGACTAGACTATAGACTAGACTATAGACTAGACTATAGACTAGACTATAGAGTAGACTATAGACTAGACTATAGACTAGACTATAGACTAGACTATAGACTAGACTATAGACTAGACTATAGACTAGACAATAGACTAGACTATAGACTAGACTATAGACTAGACCATAGACTAGACTATAGACTAGACTATAGACTAGACTATAGACTAGACTATAGACTAGACTATAGACTAGACTATAGACTATACTAGACTAGACTATAGACTAGACTATAGACTAGACTATAGACTAGACTATAGACTAGACTATAGACTAGACTATAGCCTAGACTATAGACTAGACTTTAGACTGGAATACAGACTTGACTATATACTAAATTAATTTTTGCACTATAGACTAGACTGTAGCCTGAACTTCTGACTAGACTTCAGTCTGCACTGTAGGTTAAGTTATAGTCTTGACTATTGACTATGCCTCAGTCTGGACTATAGGCTAAATTGTAATCTGTGTAATAGACTAAGATATAGTGTGAACTGCATTCTAGACTATAAGTAGGGCTATAGACTAGATTATATTCTGGACAATTAACTATACTACAGTTTGGACCATGGACTACATTATAGTATGGACTATAGTCAGGACTATAGACTGGACTATAGTCTGGACTATAGACTGGACTATAGACTAGACTATAGACTAGACTATAGAGTAGACTATAGACTAGACTATAGACTAGACTATAGACTAGACTATAGACTAGACTATAGACTAGACTATAGACTAGACAATAGACTAGACTATAGACTAGACTATAGACTAGACCATAGACTAGACTATAGACTAGACTATAGACTAGACTATAGACTAGACTATAGACTAGACTATAGACTAGACTATAGACTATACTATAGACTAGACTATAGACTAGACTATAGACTAGACTATAGACTAGACTATAGACTAGACTATAGACTAGACTATAGCCTAGACTATAGACTAGACTTTAGACTGGAATACAGACTTGACTATATACTAAATTAATTTTTGCACTATAGACTAGACTGTAGCCTGAACTTCTGACTAGACTTCAGTCTGCACTGTAGGTTAAGTTATAGTCTTGACTATTGACTATGCCTCAGTCTGGACTATAGGCTAAATTGTAATCTGTGTAATAGACTAAGATATAGTGTGAACTGCATTCTAGACTATAAGTAGGGCTATAGACTAGATTATATTCTGGACAATTAACTATACTACAGTTTGGACCATGGACTACATTATAGTATGGACTATAGTCAGGACTATAGACTGGACTATAGTCTGGACTATAGACTGGACTATAGACTGGACTATATTCTGGACTATATTGTGGACTATATTCTGGACTAAAGGTTCGTCTATGTTCTATACTATTGGCTAAACTATAGTGAGTAATATTCATTATACTATTGTATGAACTATAGAATGGACTTTCCTTTAGATTTTTCTCTTGTCATACAAAAAATCCAACACTTTAGCATGCAATTCATAACAGAGATATAAGACTAAAAAAATTTTTTATAAAAACACAAAATTTTTTATAAAATTTAGAAAATAAAATAAATTTTAAAACTACATCTCTCTATTACTTTTAGAAGGCAGAAGTTATAGAGCAAATGTAAGAGAATAAAGCTAAGGGTGTATTATTACACGCCAAAGCAAAGAGTTTGAAAAATTTTGTGTTTTATAAAATAAAATTTAAAGTGAAATTATTTTTATTATTGTCTTTTTAATGAAAAAACTAAGTAGTTAAATAATAATTAATTATAATTTTTCTTCCTTCCTTCCGACAAATAGATACTCTCCCTTGGCTGGTGATTTATTGGCCAATTCCATACTGCCCGGCAATGCAATGACTGGTTCGGGCTGGTGTATATTCGTCTATAATCTGGCACCCGAAACGGAAGAGAATGTTTTATGGCAATTGTTTGGACCATTTGGTGCCGTCCAATCGGTTAAGGTTATACGTGACCTGCAGACTAGCAAATGCAAAGGTTTCGGTTTCGTTACCATGACCAACTATGATGAAGCGGTTGTGGCTATACAATCATTGAATGGTTATACTTTAGGCAATCGTGTTTTGCAAGTTAGTTTTAAGACCAACAAAACCAAAACATCTTAAATTTTTTGTTTATAGGTTTGGAAAAAGTTTGAATTACTTGGTTTTTAGTTTGCAAAGAGAAAAATATAAAAAAAAAGAAACTTACTAGTCAAATTTCTTAATTAAAAATTTTGTGTTTAATTTAATTTCAATTTTAAATAAATTATAACTAAATAAATATTTAGACAAAGAACTCTGCAAAATACCAAAAAAAAAAATTTAGAAAAAAAACCATAAAACTGATAAATTTTTAGCCAACAACACAGAAATTTGAAAGAAATGAAAAAACAAAAAACCAAATAAACCTCCTATAAAACACACATACACACACAAATGAAAAAAAAAATATATAAAAATTTATTTAAAAACCAAATATAGACATTATGCGTCTTTAAAAGCTAGTAAAACCATAAAAAATTGAAATGAAAAATCATGTTACAAAAAATCTAAGAAAAAATTCTCAAAACAAAACAGCACATTATGTAGCGCAACAATTGTAATTTTATTTATTTAAATTTATTTAAAAATTTTACTTTTAATTTTTCTTAAAAAAAAACTAATTTAAATTTTTTTACTAATTTTACTCTACTTAACATAACATAACAAAAACAAAAGAAAAAAATAAGTAAAATATTAAAAAAAATATATTAATTAACCACAACTTTATTATAATAAATGTTTATTACTTCAAAAGAAAAAAAAAAACTTGCAAAAACCAAAAAAAAAAAAATAAATATTTATTACCAAAAAAAAAACTCTTAAAAACCCAACATAACCTAAAAAAAATATATTTGTAACTCTGTGTGTAATAATAATTTTTTTTAAAAAACATATTTATGTTTATTAACTTATATTTATATTATATAAATTACTTAATTAAATAAATAATTTATTTCTATTAAAAACAAAATGTTTATTCTCTTAAAACTTAATTCATTCTCATTACTTAATTAAACCACCCCCCCCCATAAAACATACTTTACTCCCCCTCCCCTCAGTAATATAAAAAAAATCACAAAAACCAGTGCATAACTTAATAATAAAAAAAAATTTAATTTAATAATTAATTAAATAAAAACATTAAAACCATATTTTAAACTTATTATTCTTATTATGATTATAAAACCTTATTAATATTATACGCTATATTATTATTATTATTAATATATATTTAAATAAATGTGTGTAATAATTTTAGTTTTAAATTTAATTTAATTTGTTTAAAAGAAAATACAAAAAAAATATGCCCTGCATAAGCCAGAATGATGAAAATAATAACAATTCAAACCAAAAATAAAAAACAAACTAAACTCGCATTTTATTGTTTTTAAAATTTTATTAAAACACCCGGTAGTGATAATTTAAAGCTAAAACAACAACTATCTACAAACAACAACCCAGCAAAAGTAACTAGACATAACAGTACAACACAACAGCAAGGAAAGAAAACAGAGAAAAAACAGTTAGAGTGACAACTAAGCCATAAACAGTTAAGTAGAAAAGACTAAACATAACCGAACAACACAGCAGCCAAAAAAAAGGAAAACAGAGAAAAATAGTTGAAGAGACACGTAATCCAAAAACACTTAAGCAGAAGAGACATCGGGGATGGAAATTTGTATTTTTTCATAAAAATTTTTCTAAAGAAAACATTCAGAATTCATTCTGAACTTTTCAACATGTGGATGAACTATTTATGATATGGATACTAAAAGATACTATAGACTAGAAAATTGCCTGGAATAGAAAGAGACTAATATAGACGAGACTATAGAATAGACTATAGGCTAGACTATAGATTATATTATACTCTAGACTAGACTACACTATAGACTATATTATATATTGTACTGTAAACTACACTATAGACTAGACTATTGACTAGACTATAGACTAGACTATAGTCTAGTCTATAGACTATATACTAGACTACAGACTAGAGTATAGACTAGACTATATACTAGGCTATAGATTAGATTATAGACTAGACTATAGACTAGACTATAGACTAGACTATAGACTAGACTATAGACTAGACTATAGACTAGACTAGACTAGACTATAGACTAGACTATAGACTAGACTAGACTAGACTATAGACTAGACTATAGACTAGACTATAGACTAGACTATAGACTAGACTATAGACTAGACTATAGACTAGACTATAGACTAGACTATAGACTAGACTATAGACTAGACTATAGACTATAGACTACTATAGATATAGATTACTATATTCTGGACTATAGACTAGACTATAGACTATATTATATTGGGCTATAAACTACACTATAGACTAGACTATTGACTAGACTATAGACTAGACTATAGTCTAGTCTATAGACTATATACTAGACTACAGACTAGAGTATAGACTAGACTATAGACTAGATTATAGACTAGACTATAGACTAGACTATAGACTAGACTATAGATTATACTATACTCTGGACTATAGACTAGACTATAGACTAGACTAAAGACTAGACTATAGACTAGACTATAGACTAGACTATAGACTAGACTATAGACTAGACTATAGACTAGACTATAGACTAGACTGACTAGACTATAGACTAGACTATAGACTAGACTAGACTAGAGACTATAGACTAGACTATAGACTAGACTATAGACTAGACTATAGACTAGACTATAGACTAGACTATAGACTAGACTATAGACTAGACTATAGACTAGACTATAGACTAGACTATAGACTAGACTATAGACTAGACTATAGACTAGACTATAGACTAGACTATAGACTAGACTATAGACTAGACTATAGACTAGACTATAGACTAGACTATAGACTAGACTATAGACTAGACTATAGACTAGACTATAGACTAGACTATAGACTAGACTATAGACTAGACTATAGACTAGACTATAGACTAGACTATAGACTAGACTATAGACTAGACTATAGACTAGACTATAGACTAGACTATAGACTAGACTATAGACTAGACTATAGACTAGACTATAGACTAGACTATAGACTAGACTATAGACTAGACTATAGACTAGACTATAGACTAGACTATAGACTAGACTATAGACTAGACTATAGACTAGACTATAGACTAGACTATAGACTAGACTATAGACTAGACTATAGACTAGACTATAGACTAGACTATAGACTAGACTATAGACTACTATAGACTAGACTATAGACTAGACTATAGACTAGACTATAGACTAGACTATAGACTAGACTATAGACTAGACTATAGACTAGACTATAGACTAGACTATAGACTAGACTATAGACTAGACTATAGACTAGACTATAGACTAGACTATAGACTAGACTATAGACTAGACTATAGACTAGACTATAGACTAGACTATAGACTAGACTATAGACTAGATACTAGACTAGACTATAGACTAGACTATAGACTAGACTATAGACTAGACTATAGACTAGACTATAGACTAGACTATAGACTAGACTATAGACTAGACTATAGACTAGACTATAGACTAGACTATAGACTAGACTATAGACTAGACTATAGACTAGACTATAGACTACTATAGACTAGACTATAGACTAGACTAGACTAGACTATAGACTAGACTATAGACTAGACTATAGACTAGACTATAGACTAGACTATAGACTAGACTATAGACTATAGACTAGACTATAGACTAGACTATATACTAGACTAGACTAGACTATAGACTAGACTATAGACTAGACTATTTTTGACTTGATTTTCCACATTGGACTATACTTTAATCTGGAGTAAAGACTAGGCAATTATCTGGAATAGTCTTAACTATAGACATACATTTAGACTGGACTACAGACTTCACCTCAGGCTGGAAAATTGTCTGGGCCATAGACAAGAACATTGCCTGAGCAATAGGCTAGAGAATGCACCATGAATTAGACTATAGTCTGGACTATAATCTAGGCTATATTCTGGACCATAAGCTAGGCTATAGACTGAACTACACTGTAGTATATAATCCGGACTATAGGCTAAACTGTTATACACAAATTTTTCTTTGTAAAAAAACTAACAACCAGATTTTTCTATAGAATAAAATGTTATATTAAATTTTTTCTATGGAAAAAACTGTTATAAACAAAATTCTCGGTTGAAAAAGTGTCATACAAAAATTATTCTATAGGAAAACTAATATTCCAAAAAATGTTCTATTTGTTTTAGAAAACTATTATATAAATTGTTTTCTATAGGAAAACAGTATTCTATAGAAAAACTGCAAATTTTTCGATAGAAAAACCATTACACAACTTTCTTTATAGAAAAACTGTTATGGAAAAAATTTTTCTATAGCAAAAACTTTTATCCAAAAATTATTCTATAGAAAAACTCTTATATACACATTTTTCGACAGAAAAAACTGTTATACGCAAAAACTTTGTATGTAGAAAAACAGTATTCTATAGAAAAACTGCAAATTTTTCGATAGAAAAACCATTACACAACTTTCTTTATAGAAAAACTGTTATGGAAAAAATTTTTCTATAGCAAAAACTTTTATCCAAAAATTATTCTATAGAAAAACTCTTATATACACATTTTTCGACAGAAAAAACTGTTATACGCAAAAACTTTCTATGTAGAAAAACTGTTATACACATACTTTTTAAACTTTTCCATCCTTGAGCAACTAAGCAGAGAAGACAGTTAAACTATGTTGAGAGCAAATAGACTAACTTGTAAACACAGTTTGATCATTGAACATTAATAGAGAGTTTAAAATTGAAAAGTTGGCAACACTATTTGATAGCTCTGAAGTTACAAAACGCACAATTTTAGAAACTGCAAAAAAATTTTAAACAATTCATGTGCAGAGAAATAGTGCGATCATTAAACATTTAACATTCATAGAGAATTTAGAATTGGAAAGTTGGCAACACTATTTGATAGCTTTGATGTTGTAAAACGCACAATTATATATTTTTCTCACAAACTGTAAAAAATGTTAAATAATTTATCAGCAGAGAAAACACAGTTTGATTATTATACATATCACAATCATAGAAAATATTGTATTGGAAAGTTGGCAACACAATATAACATTCATAGAGAATTTAGTATTGAAAATTTGGCAACACTATTTGATAGCTTTGATGTTACAAAACGCACAATTAGCTTTAAGGTTTCCAATATATAGCAGAAGAAAATTGAAAAGTATGAGATCTACTTTGTTTGAAAAGAGA